GATAGAGGTCTTGAAGCCCGAATATAAGCTGGAGACCAGAGCCTGAATATGAGATGGTATATGATGGTACGAAAGAATAGTGGGAATCAAATTATGGTGGACCTCGCCGAAAGCATTTTTGAGATCAAGCAGGGTAACAACCAAAGAGCGCTGTTTTGTGCGAGCTTTATTTATCATATGACCCATAAGTGCCGTGTGTTCTAAAGTACCTGATATCTTGGGAGTGAAGCCTTTTTGAATTTGGCTTTCAATGAAACCATTTTGTTTCAGAAAGTTGAAAACAGAGTTACGTAGGCAGGAGGTGAAGATTTTCAAGGGAACAGATTCTAAGGTTATTGGTCTGAAGTTAGAAGGATCATCTGTATTGTCTTTTTTGTGGATCAATATCGTTGATGCTTTTTTCCATTCGGATGGAACACTGCCAGATACCCAAATGCTATGAATAATTTTGGTGAGGAAAGATCGTAGGTAAGGGCAACGTTTGAAACAAATGATGGATATCTTATCAAGGGGACAGGGAGAAGTGGAGGATTTCATGCGACGTATAATAATAATAATAATAATAATAATAATAATAATAATAACAATAATAACAATAATAAAAATAACAATAATATTAATGGAAACATTTCATTTTCTTAAACTACAATTACAAATCTCACTGTTACAAGGTGATTTTGCAATTGGCTAGTCTGGCTTTACAAGAAAAAACTATAACAATCGTAAGGTAAAAGGAAAAACTGAGAAAAAAGAAAACAAGGATGTAATTCCGGATTTGTCCATGGTTTATTTTTTGCAACAAAATATGTAGCACGTAGTATGGATGGCAATGTTGGAAAGTTTAGAGATTAGATACCGTTTTTGTTGCTGATCGATGGAGAGAGAGTCACACATTTTGAAGAAGGAGATGCAGGAATTGCCAAAGTTTTATAGGTTGACTTCAGACCTCATTTTCGGTAAAACAACACAAGATCTATTGCCTCGTGTGTTTATTTCATGTTCACATCTTTTGAAGTAGCTATTTAGGTCATCGGGTAGTAGACTATGTAATTATTTAAAAACGTCAATGGCCACCTATATGTTTCGTGTTTTTTTCAATGCTGTCCTGTAACATTATCTTTGCTCTAGGGTTGACAATTCTGGCTGCTCTATTTTGTATATACTGTAGCTTGTTTACTGTTCCTTTGGGTTGGGGATGCTGTAGTGGGTAGCAGTACAACAGTAATGGTCGTATCATTGTTTTATATATCGATTCTGCTACATAAGAGCTGACATTTTCGCGAATACGAGAATAAAGCTTCACTCTGGCAGACGCTTTTTTGAACACATTTTTAAAATGTTGACGTAGGTTCAGATGGTTATCCATATCTACTCCAAGGTACTTGTATGATTTTGTCTCATGAATAGTTTGATTGTAGATTTTGATATCCACCTTTGGCTGTTTGGACAGCTTTTGATATGATCCATATAGCACAAATTCACTTCACCTTTAGCACCATATAGCACCTTTTTTCAAGTTAATGAACAAGCTATTTTCATTGAGCTAGTCTGCAACCTTTTGCAGTTCGCTGTTAAGTAGACTTTCTATTTTATTCGAATTGTTTTCTGCACAATACAATACAGTATCATCAGAGGCGGCGTCAGAAATCTTCCGATATAGGGGCTGGAGCTTCCGACAGAAAGGCTAGATGCTTCCGACGGAGAAGCTGTAGCCCCCCCTAGCCCTCCCCTTGCGCCACCACTGAGTATCATCGGCGTATAGTATAATGGCAGCATCAGTGAGCGGAATAAATACAAATTTTGTCGATTGCCAGCCCTAAAGGAAGGGGCCCCACATGTGACGCTTTCTTCGTATGAGCTTGTATTGTCAAAAGTTACTTTTTGTTTCCTATTGAAGAGATAATCTCCTATCCATTGTTATTCCACGTCATATAAACCATAACTTAGCAATTTTTCCAGCAAGGTTGCATGATGTACTGTGTCGAAGGCTTTACGGAGATCGATATAGACAGCACCAGTATACAGTCTTTATCAATTGTCTGAAAAGACAGGATTAAAATATTAATTTGGCTCTGTTTTATTTTTCATGGCGGATGATACTGCCAAACAATGGACATAGTATGTGTTGGAAGAAGTTCATCGACATGATATATCAGTGTGTTCTGATGAGTATTACCCATTAATAGGTTCATCAAAATGCAAATTGGCCTTGCTTATAATCCATTCATATTCACAAAAATATGTTTACAGAATTTTTTTTAACAAAATGCGAGTTTCAAAGTTATACCCTCATTTTGTGCAATGGTCTTACCCCTCATTTTGTGCAAAAATCCCTAAAATTGACAATAATTTATTCATTTTGATCGAAGAATGCTTCAATTTTGAAATAACCTTTGGAATTATTTACAAATTGTGATTGACCAGAGCATTGTTTCCCATGGCAGTATGTCTTGCCCATTCCTTTTTTGATTGATAAACACCACTGTGCAGACAAGAACTGTCTTGTGGCTTTCTCTTATCATCGACAACATCTGGTTGACACTGTTCTATTGCATTTGGTTTTTGCAACTAATACATCTTTTGTTTACGACAAGATTCCCTTGCACGCGATGCAGACGTAGTTTCCATGTACCTAACTTGCTCAGCTTGATTTACGATTTCTTCCTGAATGTACAAATCCTTAAGATGTTGTTAGGAAATTTTTTATTACCATGTTCAGTTCAGAAGGCCTAAGTACCTGCATCGAAATTGTGATGAAATAACTCATTTCATTTGTTGTTCAGAATTTTTTTTTATAAACCAGATAACTTTTCCTGATGCTCGATGTTCTCATTTTTAGGATGATTTGAGGCTCGGGGGTTCTTAATATTCTTCTTATTTGTTATTTCTATAACTTTTATATCATATTTTGTACTTTATATTTGGAATATCAAGACCGCATTGTGCAACAGTTTTAGAGGGATGGTTGATTAGCTGATATGTTGATTAGCATATCTGCTCAGATATGTTAAAATGAGTGAAAAATTAAAAGAAAACCATTTCTTGAAAGAAAATTTTCTTCTAATTTTTGCAGTTAAGGCTTTACATGCTTTTATGTAGTTCTTATTTTCCCGTCAATTGAGCCTTGGTGTTCTTAGAAAATGAGTTCTTATAAAAAGAGAGTAAAACGGATAAAGAATAGATTTAAAATCACAAAGATGTAGTAGTCCCAGTGAGAGAATCTAGATAGGGCCTTTCTCCTTTGCCTTTTACGAGGCTAGTTGTATTGACTTTGTGTATTAATCAATCTTATCTTGAGTTCAGACCTGTTTAATGATGTTCTGTGTCTAGCCAAGCATTTACCTTCATGAGACACAAATCCTCCATGTTTTGTCGCTAAGTTCATTATCTGCAAAGGAATTAGATTGCAAATTAAATTATATAAAGAGATTCTGCAAATAATCTAGGAGTTTTCTAAAAATAGCAAAGAATAATGTTTCTAATAAAAACATCTTGGTACTGAAAAGAATGTTTTCAAAAACAGATTATTTTCTCATTTTTATTTCTTTTTTTTATAATGCTTAGAGTTCACGTTCCTTTTGTGCCAGTAAATTACTAAATAAATCCGGTATTCCGGTATTACTACAGTTTTTGAATTCCTTCAAGTATTAGGGATGTTTGCATGATATGAGCAGGTTTTTTGTTTTCTACGGTGTAGGTGTAGAACGAGAGTAATGTCAAACATAGAAAGACCAAAACAAGCTCGACTTCCTCTAATATTTTCTGATTGTTCGTCAATTCATTCACTGTCTTTGCATTGAAACCATCCTCGCGAAGACAGAGACAGCACCATACACTAGCATCAAGATCTTGCTAGCATGGGCTCATTTCCTCTATCGTGGTCGATTGAATCTGAATTTTCGTTACCCTCTTTTTCGCTAATAAGACTTTTACTTCTTTTCAGGAAATGTTTATTCAGCTATTGGGCTTATGATGAAGAGAGATCACAATGGATCGACTAGGTATTTGTTGTTACCGACTATGCGGCTAAAGAAAACCGCAAAATTTATTGTATGAATATTCTTGTTAAGCAATCTTTATATGCTCTAGAACTACTTCTTCATTTCAAGTAACCGTATTTGTCTCTAGCGTCCCGAATATTGTATCTTCAAAATAAGAGACAATTTTTGTTTTCAGATATGAATAGAAACAAATTCTTTTAAGAATACACCAAGATATTTGCACCTCCACGATAGGGATTGCTGGAATCAAAATTATAGAATTACGAAGTAGGAAAATGTTGGGTTTAACAGCAACGTTGCGAGAAGGTTGTACACGCTTTTTTATGGCCTCTAGTTTCAGTTTCAGCGCTTTTTGCATAAATTCAGCCAAACTTGTATTCTACTTTGTTTCTTATTTTTTTAAGGAAATTTCCTGTGCAAAGTAGTTTCCAGATATAACATGTGCTTGATAAAGTTATTAATGTTAGTTTTATTATCGCTTTCTGTTTTTCTGTTGTCTTCCTTTTTTCAAGTCAAGTAATTTTAAATTAAAACAGAAAGCGATAATAAAAATAACATCAAGGGAAATCAAGGCTATTTTGTGAAACGCTAATGTTACTGTTGTTGAAAGGAACTGCTAGCAAGATTTTACCTAGATGATTATAGACACAGGATGTTGATGCTCCGTAGAGGCAGCATTAACAGCAAAATACACGCAAGAGTGGTTAAGGTGACAATAATAAGAATGGTAAGGGGCATCGCCAAAGAAGGTGACAATAATTAAGGATTTTCGCCGGGTAAAAGAAGAAATTTTTGTACTCAACCTGTAACCTTTTTGCAACAATTGAAACGTATTAACATATCTGTAGTGGACTTACAAAATATGACACTAAAGTATGAACTCTGAAACAAAAACGCATAAAAGCAGTATATAAGAGTATCTATCTTTTGACCACACCCTTCAAAAGTAAGACACGCCTTCGCCCCTGGATGAGATAGATTCATTTTATAAGAACAATTTTATAAGTAGAGAAGCCTCCAAATTGACCAAAAGCTAAGAAAAAATCAAGAACAAGATGATGCTGAGATATTGTAGAATGTAATTTTAAACAATGTTGCAATTCAAAAATGAAGAGTTTTTTGCCATCCATGGGAGCTTCTTCGGTGAATTTTAAAAATTGTCTAGCTCACTTTTTTTGCAAGCGAGGCTTAAACACTTCTCCAGAGCGCAATAGCAATTGCACTGCTTACACCCAAATAATTCAAGAACAAATTGAGAACAATCCAGCTTGAAATTTTCGAATAATTAAGAGCAGCCAGCCTGAACTTCAATTTACTGGTTCTTATAAAAGAAGTTTTTACTATGGCGACTACAAGATTGAATACTGTCAGGAATTGGTGAATGAAAGCTGAAGATAGAGATTACAGTAGGAAAGTCAAGATACAGTTTTTTTGTAGAAGAAAAGAGTAGAGAGGGGATACAAAGGAGGGAATGAATGGAATGTGTGCAAGAAGGACATTGCGGCTGATGATTTTATACAGGAGAAATTTGACAATTTGAGGATTTAGAGAAGGCAGTACTTGACCAGGGAAAACACATTAGTAGTAACAGTCACAGAAGAAGAGTTAGGAAGCTATCCCGATAAGGTACTCTTTAAAAGCTCTTGCCCCCGGCATGCTAAGCGGCAGTTGTCTTGAGCAATTGGCTATGTTTTGCATTTTCATGCAGTACGATATTAGGCCGGTCGTTTGCCGGTTGCGCAAGAACTTTAAGAAAGGCCCAGGTAAACATTGTGTTGATAGCAGTAACATATGAAAGCCTCTCAGGCTGATTCACGTAGTGAAAATTTTGTAAAGGTCTATGCAGTGAAATTTCAATAGGGAGAAACACTGACTAATTTCACTTTAGACCAACATCTAATAAGCATTTGTACGTGATCATGATGGTTTGTGCCAAGATCCACGACGATATAACTCTCTTTGGCCCTTTCATTCAATTTTTTAAGACGAAAATTTGCAAGATCTTTCTGTTCTCGACGTCTTTTGTGATGAAACTTGTTTTGTCTTGATTTTCTAGATGTCTCAGACTTCGAATAGTGCTGATGGAAAATCGCTTAAATCTAACCGGTTCTTTTGACCAAAAGATATACTTGATCATTCTTAAGTTATAAGGTAAATTTCCATCTGGTTAAGTAAATATGATTACAAGAAAGTGTCCTTCTTAGCTGCGGATTAAACAAATCTAGCCGATCACAAGACTGTAAATGCTATGCATCTTTATGCGAGGAAGAAAATTTTAACAGTATCTAGGCCTTTATATTAGAGAGCAATTCATATGTAACGCGAGCAAGCTCGTGTGGCTTTTAATAGAATCAAGTTTTGATGCATTTTACGTTAAAGCTTTGCCTCTTTTTATGGAAATACAAACAAAAAGTTCAGATGTACATTAAGTACTTTGAAATAGGATAGCAATCGAGAATCCAAAGCTGATATTTGCACTTTTGTATATTCAGTGACACAATCGGTGTTAGATACTATTCCAAGTACATCTTAGAATTTCTTTAAATGAGAATTTCTTTTGATGAGATTTTACAAAAAACTATGAAACTAAGGAACTAGGAAAAATCAAAATTATCAATTAGAAAGTCAGCCACACCAGAAAAACAAGTTTTTGGGACATTTAAAAACACTTTTGAGTTCTTTAATGCCGCTGAAAGTTTGAACTTACAAAGTTTTTGAGGAAAAATATTGAGCTGCAAAATGAAAATTGACTCATCAAGATCAAAATGAAAACATGATCAAGAAGTTGTAAAATCAAGATCAGAAATTTCTTTCATAAACGTCTATCATGTATCATCCCCATGCAAATGTTATGCTGTACTTGTTTTGATACACAGAGTCATCATGGAATTTGATGAAGTAAATGACAAATGCTCCCTGAATCGCCTAAAAAGAGAACTGACTAAAATTCACAGTCTTTTGCTCTAAACCATTTCATGCATTAAGGCTTACAATAAAGAAAGACATTTTCAATGTGAGGAAGAAAATTGTAATAGTATTTATGCCTTAAGATTAGGGAACTACCTACATAGGATTAAGTGGTTATCCTAGCAAAGTTTATACACATACAATTATATGCTTAAAAACCTTTTGCAATAGCATATGTAAGGAGATGTTTCAAGGAATACACAAAGAACCATTAACTTAAACAACACAAATAAACGTCTAGCCAGTAACAGAAAGTCGGGTTTTGATGTAAGAAAATTCCATTGTTCCTAAAAACCATTGATTGGGTGACATGGATCATAAAACAGGAAAGAGGTGTTTTTGGAGAAAACGTTACATCCACTTGGCCACTTCACTTGTCTAACCAACCCTGCATCAGATATGATAATCAAACTTACGTGAGCAATGAATATGTAACACGAGCAAGCCCGTATGGTTAATTATAGAATCAATTCAAAGTTTCGAAACATTCTACAGTTAAGCATTGCTTCCTTGAAAAATATGAACTATAGACAAAAAGTTCCGATGTTTTTTCAAAAAAGGATTGCAATGGAGAAACATATTATGTATTGAAGCAAAAAAGAAGGCACTTTTTTTATTCGGTGGCATAATTGGTAATCGATGCTATTTCAAATCCATCATGATTTAAAACGTTTTTAAGATAAACGTGTCTTAGATATGTCATTAGCCCATGTTTTATATGCTTCATTGGCAAAATCACGATAGAATTGATTGCAACATATCATATTATTGTTTTCTGAATTGACAAAACAGAGAACAATTTCATAGCGGCTTTCAACGTTTTCTTAGATCAATATTCACACTAAAGAAAGACATCTTCCATGTGAGTCTGTCTTTCGGATTCCGTGTTATGAATGAATTCAGCGCTGTTTTGCTCTCCAGAGACTCGTCTGGAATCAAACTCGAGCAACTTCATACGAAGCTTCTTCAGATTTTCGTCAGTTGAATCAGGAAGCAAGGTTTCTTTCCACCTTAACAAATAATCAAATATTATAACTGCATTGCTCAAAGATATAATTGAATGGAAAGACTGCATCAATTAAGAATAAAAAGCTCTACTAGATTGTTTATGTACGAAAACGTATGAATGCATCTTACTAGAACATTAAAACCTCGCGCAAGATTCTTCAAGAAGAGAATATATTCAAAGTTTATTCATTTTGAGACTGCAATTCCTACTTCAAAATCTTTGGTTTTCTGATAAGAATCTCTACTTTAATCCCGGTTATTCAGAATTTTTTTTAGCAAACACAGTAAATGTTGTAGTTTTATAAAGAAAATATCGATTTGGAAAGGAGGAAACGCGTTTTAGGGATGTCATCGTTTTGGGATTGCTACTCTTTTCTTACCATTTGAGATAGACTTAAGTAGAAACCTTTGAAATTACTTTTTTGGTCTTAACTCAACATGATTTCAACTCATCTTCAATTCTTAATTGCCACATACCTTTGAAAAGTAGTTTTTCTGTTCACCATGTATGTGTTGGCTGGTATATAGACGCGCTTTTTTAGTATGTACTTTGGCACAATCCCTTGAATACTTTCAATGAACTCTAGCTGTTGCTCAAAAATGCTAACTGTTGCTATCTTGCGGATCGCATCGATGTCACCAACAGCCAAGCCTATCTGCAAATTAAAACTTTTTATCAATAGTTTGAAAGTAAAAAAATATTTATCCTGGTAGTGTGATGTAATGATGCATAAAGAGTGGATTCGGAAAAGCGTAACACAATGCTTTCTAATATCTGATACCATTCTCCTACGTGTCTCCCTTAGAAAGGTTCTAAGTGACATGAAGCATAACTTTTCAATGAAAACTATAACTGGAAGCTTCTGAATTGAAATCCAAACAAAATAAAGCTGAAAACAGTAAGTCAAATTGATCCTCTTGTTGTTGGCAACAATATTCATTTGTAATTTGAAATATGTTAAGCTAGAAATGAGCAAAAAGTAAAGATGAGTTGCAAATTTTAAAGAAAAAAATAAAATTCTAAAATAAAGTAATGAAAGAAAAAAAAATGATTATATTGTGATTAGTAAGTCCTCAAACTTGGATCATTTTTCAAATCCAGTCAAGTTTGTAGTGACATAAATTTTCTTCGTTAAAAATAGACCATTAATTCAAATTTAAATTAAAGGGGTTTCCAAATTATACATTTCTGTTTACTAAAAGTAATGTGTGAATAAAGATTGCAGTTGCATACACGATCATTAAAACTGCTTATATGGTGCTGATATGAATTCAACTGCTCTTTGATTGATCTTACGATTGGCTTAGACCAAGCTATTTGAAAAAGCAAACATTTTGAAGCATGCTACTAAAGCTTTTCGTCTGACACTCTTCAGAGTATAAAACTTCTGAACATAGACAAAAAACTCTACGTTAGGAAATGCTTTTCCAGTTGTGGATCGAAATAGGCTTTTCATGTTTATGTAGATAGATTCCAAACTGCTATTTTTCAAAGCCATTTTTAAATTCTGTACTACGAAAGGATTGTGTACCAAGCTATTTTTACATTGACTGGTTTGAACCGGGCTAGACCTCCTTCAAAGCATGCCCCTTTTACGGACACACTAACTTCAAGACATTACTTTCATTATTATACAAGATAACATAGAATGACGCCAAAAGTTGCACATACCAATAAGTTTGTGAATGCGACTGCTACCAGAAACACGAAGATGACAAATATGACGTAAGACAGTATCGGATATGGAACAAATGGAAACTTGGTTTTGGGCTCTTTTTGACCAAGCTTCGATGATATTGCATCATCAAAATCAAACTCTCCTGTCATCATGACGAGCACTTTGGCGGTACTTGCTAGTGGTGAGCGATAGGTAGTTTGCCTGATGAACAGCAGATAAAATGTGAACGCGAAAGCCAGGATGATTATTCCAAACACAATCAGGAGTCTGATGATAGTCACTGAAACCTTGATGAACATAACAATGTACAGCCGAAACATCGATACTCGTTGAAGGTAAAGAAGCAGATTTGTCCAACCGAGGAAAATGCAGATGACTCCAATTTCGGATAACTTTCTGTTGACTACAGAAATCGCGAAAAATATGGCAATGTAGTAGAAATTGACTGAATACAAACACAGTTCAAGGTAGTTTGTAAAGCTCATAAAGTATTTCCAACGAAGGACGATAATCTGCAGTAGTTCTTTACAAAGCTGGCAACAGCAAAAGGCAAGAATGAGACTGCCAATGACCTTGCCATAGTTTTTTGATGATGGTGCGGTATTGATCAGCTCTGTTAGGCGACTGTCCTTAGATGAAGAAGATGTGTTCCTTCTTGCACGATGGTCAGCGACTTTAACAAAGCTAAGGGGAAAGGAGATACCAGCTAAAGAAAGTGACTGAGATGTGGCAGTCATTTATAAGGTATACAAAACCTATATTCGTTAAAATTTCTGAGAGGAATTTTACATTAGATAGAGATAAAGATGGAGATAAAGATAACATTTTTTAATTGAATAAATCATGAAATTAGAATACTCTTAAAACCAGGGTCGCATTAAGGACTTCTGGGACCTTGGCACAGACTATAATAGGTGCCCTAATGTGGATATCCGTGCCTCAATGTGATAATGGCTAAGCATGACTATGGCTGTAGACGAGGCTTGAACTAAAATACATTTGTCCTAAAATTGGATTTTGATCATTTGCCATAAATTATTATCAAAAAAATCTATGCAAGAAAATGTTGGGACCTTCTAACGCTAGTGGCCATGTAAAAAATTAAATGTTTGCAAAAGAACCTTATTATGAAAAACTGAGTTAAGTTGAAAAATAATCTATTTGGCACATAAAAAAATTCTTCAAATTGTAAGGGAAAACTCGAGAATCGAACAACGGAAACTACTGACGTGCTATTTTCCTTCATGACAAGGTACGTCATCGATATAATGTAGAAGAGATATATCACAAAACTGGCATAGTAGAAATATCTGCAGATGCGCCTCCATTTTGTAGCAAATAGATCTGCAGTAATAGGATGAGCCATCATGCTTTCGCGGCCATGCTTCGCCATAAGTTTTGGCGCAAAATAAAGCTTGTTTCTTTGTTTTGTCAGGACAGCTATTGTGTCTGTCATCAGAGATTGCGATTCTGGTTCCTCTTCCAGGAACTGGTAATCAAAGGTAACAGAGAAGTCATGGTGTTCCGGGTGATGGTCGGAGAACATAGTAGATCGATCCAGAATTATTTCAGCCAAATTAGGAAATTTCTCCACAAGTTTATCAATGAAATTTCGTCCATTTGGATCTTTACTTGTCAGGATTTCCTTCCATCTTGAAAGAAGTAAATTTGCTTTGAAGAGTATGCATAATATCAAGGTTAAACAACAGATGTCTTTTTGACCTAATTTCAAATAGCTTAATTTTCGAAAAGCGCCTGTTCTTATAAAACTAATAAAAGCCAAGAAATGTGTCAAAACAATTAGCAACCTATGCACGATAAACGCTCTAAATACAAATAGAGAATTTTCTGTGATTCCCATCCATGCATACCTATCGTCTTCCAAAGCTGCTTTGCAAACAGCTTCTTTACGAAAGTCAATAGCAATATCAAGGAAAGTGTCGCCATCTTGGTTGGTAAGCTCCACCCGAGCACCATGCTGAAGCAATATGACAACAGCAGCAACATTGCCGGCTTTGGCCCCAGTCATAAGAGAAGTGTTTCCCCAGTTATCTTCACTGTCGATCTCTGCCCTGTGTTTCAGCAGGAGTTTTACTGCAGTTGCATCATCGTGGGTTGTTGCGTGATGTAATGGCGTCCAATTGTTCTTATCCTTGCAATCTACAACAGCCTTGTGCTTCAATAAGACTTTGCAAACGGCCCTAAGATACAAAATAAATGCGTTTTACATGGTATCGTTAACATTACAATAGATCATTTTTGAAAAATATTGTTCATGTTGCTTGAGTCTTCCAAAGTACTAAATAATTGTTTAAACAATGGCTTTGAAAAAAAGCAAACATTTTAGAACATACTTAATTTATTGGGTAACCATAACAGTAATGTGCTCGCGTTTCTCATTGGCCTTAACCGATCAACAACTGGGTATATATATATATTTCCTAGCGTAGAATTTTGGGTCTATGTTCTCACGTTTTATACTCTAAAGAGATGAAAAGCTTGAGTATTTTCTAAAATGTTTGCTTTTATCAAAACACTTCTTTTATTCTGTATCGCAAGAAGATTTTTTGCTAATTGCTTGTCAATTTATTGATTTGTATAATGTTCTTATAAGCCTTGTTTCTCCACAAGTGGAGAAAGTTCAAGCGTCAGTCTCACAAATCAACTCGTGCTATGATACTTAATATTGAACTGAATCTACAGATGAAAACAAACCACTTGGTTGCCAGATAATCGTATAAATTGATATGAATGTAAAGACAATATTTTATTGAAACAAATTCCTATTATTTACTATTTCTTTTACAGTCGAATAAACATGATCGTTTCTAAGAGACTTCAACCAGGGGGTCAACCAATTAATATAAAAAGAGGGAAATAGTAAATTGTCTTAAACAACAGAAGGTCCCCGGAGCTGGATGAACCTTTACTCTCTTAGTTATTGTAACTTGCAAAGATTATTTAATGTGTGTTTCTACAATAGTGAACCCACATGCGCACTTATTTTTAAGGAACCAAGTTTTAATCAAATTCTTGAATAGGCTAATCGTAATGGCCTACGAATTGGCATACCCCCTTCAAAGCAAAGTCAATTGGATGATTGAACTCACATTTGTCTGTTAATGACGGCTATATGCAGTGGTGTTTCTCCTTGTGGATTAGTTACGTTGATTATCGTGTCTTCTGCATTTTCTGATAGTTCGTTCACACACGATTCGTGACCGTATCTTGCTGCTATATGAAGAGCTGTCTCCCCAGTATCGTCTGTATCAAACAGCTGTCTCGAGTGGCTTTTGAAGACTCTTAGAATCTGTAGTATGGATGTGCATAGGATTGATATTTCGAAATATGTTAGATGTTAAACAAATGCACCAAATCGAATGTTTTTTAGGTGATAGCTATGACAAGATGTCCATACACTACATAGGTAAAAACGCATATTCCTTTTTCAATGATTATACCATTTGTAGGAGCATTTTGTCAGGGCAATAGCTAAAGGGGTGGGCAGGGGCTGTCGTGTCGCATAAACAAATCGAGAAGTTTTTGCCGTACAGGGGCACTTCGTCGATGAATTTTTAAGGTTTTCAGCAAATAAAGATTGGCTCACCCCCTTGTCAACACTTTGGACCTTGACATCCCCCTTGAGCACCATGACTGGCGGCAGCCATGACTATAAGAGGTGTATTCAACTTGCTACCCTAGATTTTACGCTTATTCCAAACATAAGGCGACCACATGCATATGATATGGTCCGCAACACTATAGAAAGCATATACAGTAAGACGGTACTTCTAGAGCCAAGCTTAACTCTAAAACAAACGGCTTCTAGAAATGATAGCATAGATTTGAAATAAAGCTCTTCTGTTTATAAATCTGTTGTAAATATTTAGTATGCACGCTAAGAACCAAATCGGTCATTACCGTATCTCAGGATTCAAAGCTAAACTACAGCAGAAAATAGAAAAATTCAAAGCTAAACTCTAGTAATCGCTGTACCTCAAGATTGCCTGAACGTGCAGCATAATGCACCGGACTGTGCTGTCCTTCGTCTTTGGCGTGAATCAGCTTCTTACATCTTTCTACCAAAAACATTGCCATTTCCAAATTTCCGTTTTCAACCGCAAAGTGTAATGCATTCTTCAGCTTCAATTCCTTTGCTGTTACTTTGGCACCGTGTTTTAGAAGAGCACTAGCGATGCTTATGTACCCGTTCTTGGCTGCCAGCATAAACGGCGTGCACCCTTCAAAGTCTTGCTGTTCAATGTCAGTTTTAGCATCTAAAAGCATTTCTGTGATACTCAGCTGGCCAAATCGTACTGCCCTTGAAGTAAAAAATACAGTATTCGTGATTTCTCGTCTTGACTGAGGTAGGTTTTAAGGGAGGTGAACAAGCAAACGTCTACTAATGAATGTGTCACCCCCGTCCTTGATGGTACAATCATTCCTAAAGTATTTTCAAGCAATTAATAAAGCTTGTAAGGGGACTAAGACATTGGAGTAGCACCCATGTTTAAAATCTGAATTCCTATGTTCAAAAGTCTGTCAAGGAGGTCTGATGATAGAGTTTATAACACCCGAAGAGTTCCAAATAATATTTAGATTGAAAAATGCCTTTCACCACCTAACTTTTCTTGATTGAACTATGATAAAGACATTGACAAGAACTTAAGAATTACTTCAAAGTCGAACAAAGTATAAATGATATACTTACTCATGCAGAGGAGTTCTCCGTTTGTTATTTACTGTATTGCTTGAGATACCCTTCTTCAATAAAAACCTGACGGCGTTTTCATTTCCTGCTGACGCATTGAGGTGAAGTAAGGTTGTTTTGTTCGAACTTTCAACAAATATGTCAGCTCCTTCTTCAATCAATTTCTGCATAGCTGTGACATGCCCCATTTCTGCTGCCAAAAATACAGGCGTCTTCATGTCCTTTCGAGGTTTATTTAAGAAAGTTTCAATTGAAGTTTTATCATCCTTGGTATCTACAAAGAAAGAAAATGTCAAATATGAATTTATCAAATTTCTTTAGCGCATTGATTGAATTCTTTCATAAAAACATATCTTTACATTGGGGATATGACGGCCTAAGTTTTGGTGGATACTTCAAAGCTTTATATCTGGAGAAATATTGCTTGCTCACTGTTTGAAGGCCCGTGCTGTTTGACAATGTCTTTAAAGGACAATTCAGTGTTTGCTAGACTCTTGCTTTGTACGTACGTCAACAGGAAAGGAACCACGTCAACATCTCTTACCTGATGCACCTTGCAATCCCCTCTTTGTCTCAATCAAATGATCTATAATATCAGTGCAGTCCTCACTAACTGCAATATGTAAAGGCGTCTCCCCCATTTCATTGCAAATGTCAACTGATGCTTTATTCTCGAGCAGAATATTGCAGGATTGAACGTCATTTT